CAGCTGTCGGCACAAGGAGGAAAATGTTGCATGGATCCTGTGACTTCAAGCCCCCTGGGGCAACGCTCAGTCAGGGCTTACTCAGTCCTGCCGCCCTCAAACCACTGCTCCTTATCCGGCAAGTACAACCCACCCAACCCATAGCAGTCCTGGAGCCCGGCAATTAGTACGGACGTTTTCCGGTGTTTTCTACTGAGGGAAGTTTTGCTTCCCGTATTAACTGTTAGAACGAAAATAGTCAAAACTGTAGCCTCAGTTCCTAAAATTGAGGTTCCAATAATAATCTTGCTCAGATTCTGGAAATCAGTGTTTGCGGGGGCCTAGAACACTGACTGAGACTCATCATCTCATTCTATTTATACATGTGACTAATTTCTCTACTCAGCACTAGGCCAGGTTGTTGCTGTGGTTAATTCTGTTTGATGAGCTAGCATCCCTTCTCCTGCATGGATTCCTACACAATACTTGGCTGTTCACCCCACCTTAGGCCAGTGACAAAAATCTGCTCAGGCAGACCTGTACTTATCCTGTGAAAGCTTAGAAAGCATAGTACTAAGTCACAAGTTAAATTAATCATGGATCAAAAGCGTGATTTGAGAGCTTCAGTTCTGGCTATTATCTATAAGTTCCAATTGTTGACACTCAGACAACCTAAATTATCCAGGGAACCGAAAACTGCAACCAGTGTTGCATTGTACTTGCAGGCTGGCTTTGTTGTACCTAAAAATGCTGTGCTTGGCGTATTCAAAGGCTTTCACGGGCCACACGCATTTCATGGGAGACACACTCTGTACCCTGGATGGCTGGTCTTCAAAATCCTGATGTTTTGGACAGTGCTGAAGTTCTCAGCCTTTTTCTTCTTTGGTTAGCCAGTCCCAAGCCCTGGTCAGCTAAGAAGCTTAATCTGACTGTGTATCACAGCAGTGTGGCTGCCACCAGAAGAGATTACTTCTGTCTTTGCAAGCCTCTGAAAGTAATTAAAAGCATGCATATGGGGACCGTGAGGCATAAAATATGAAAGGAAAAGTTCAGTGAAGTAAGGTTCCAAAGACCTCAAAAGCTTAAAGACCTCAAAAGCTTAAACTAAAACTTGTCCAGAAAAGAGTATTTTCACTCGTTTTATTCTAACTTAAAGAGTTACTACAGATAATCTACTGTCTCTCCATATCACTAAAGTGAAAAACATATACTTGGCTCTCCAGCATTGCCAAGACGTCAGCCTCGGGGCCTAGCAGACCATCAAGTTCTATAAACAGCAGTATTTTAAAAGTTAAGTCAATGACTGATGCTTTTACTGCATCTGATTCAACATTTGGAAACAGCATCTCTTGCAGGAGATTAAACCAATAGCATTTTGGGGGGCGGGGAGCTAAGTGTTTTTTAAAGTATGGCCCTATGAACCACTTTCATCAGAATCCCTGGTAAATGGTTTAAAATGTACATTCCTAGGGCCTCCAGAATTATTAAAACAGACTTTTTTCATCATGACCCACATTAAGTGATACATTTGACATTAAGATTTGGTGTCCGTTTTGTAAGACACTCAATTTTCCATTGTACTCTCTTCTATTTCATGTTTTCAACTGCTGGTCCGGACCTAATAAATTGATATTATGATCCATTCCTAGTTGTAACGCTAAGCTTCAAAAACATGAGACTAGTTAATTAGAAGAAGCAGAACTGGAGTTGCACGATTAGCAGCAAACACTTGAGGCTTTGTGATGGAGAGAGGGTTTAGTAATTCCCCACCTTTTCTAAGTTCAACAAAATGAATGTCTTATAAATCAAACTACCCACTTGGATGGTTTCAGGCATTGAAAAGTGGTTGCAGGCTTCAGTTACAAACCTTAAGGGTACCCACTGTCTTAGATCCGGACAGGAAACGTCCTCCGTAGGAATGATTACCTCTAAACCTTCAGTGTTAAGAAAGATAATAATGTCAGCAAAGTGTGTGCTCAGAGCCCCTTGGCACACCCCTAGCCACATCCTCTCTGCAAGGCTTCAAAGCACTCCCTTCCTCCGCCTTTCCCTACCCGTTCACACCCAACATCCAAAGGGGTATATTACTTTAAAACACTCAAATATTGCCCTATCTCAATTTAATAAAGGCTTATGATTTAGCAGCACTGTAGAAACCCCTCATCCATTTTCTCTCTTTCATTTTGCTTCTCCTGGGCATTTCTCATCTCTCTTCTCCCCAGCACCTGCCACCCAGCCCCTTTCTGTCTCCCTCTCCTTCTTCCCTTACTCCTCTCCTCTCCTTGTCTCCCATCTGCTGGGGGAGTGGAGTGGGATACAGTGGATGTCTCTGACTTCACTCCACTCACAGTAATTCCCTTCTTCCCAGGGGAGTCTTTCTTTGGCTAAAGTACCACACACTTTTAAAAGACATTCTCCAAGGAGAGTGATGACACAGACAGCAGATCTGAAGCAGTTATGCGTTATTAATAAACTGTTCTGCTTTTCCACTCCCCCAAGGAATCACCTCTCTGTTCCTTTCTTCAGGCTGAAATTCTAAGGGGAGGAGTTTACTCAAGGTAGAAAGGGATCTGCAAGAAGTGTGGCTGGGCATGGGGAGAGGACAGAGGAGAAAAAGCAAAAGCCCGTTACCTGGGCTTCTTACTTGCCGCTGATGTTGCAGTATTTTGTTTTTCTGGTATATTTCCCTGGTGAGCCTCTCCCATAAAGGCGTATCTTAGTCAACAAGTATTTCTTGAGCACCTACTACGTGGGAACCAGTCTAAGTTCTGGACCCGTAAACAAGACAAGGTTCCTGCCCTCGTGGATCTTCCATTCTAAGGGGAGAGACAAACAATAATCAAACAAACAAGTGAATATATAATGCCAGAGGGTAATAAGTGCTAAGAGGGAAAATTAAGTGACTTAAAAGGACCAGGGAGTGGCTGGTTGCTATTTTATATGAGGCAGTCAGGGAAGCCCTCCTGCAAACTGACAACTGGGCAGAGACCTGAAGGAAGCAACAGAGTGAGCCAACTGGACACTGTGGGGAGAGGCTCCTTGCGCAAAAGGAATAACACGTGCCAAGGCCTTCATGAGAGAACTTGGTGAAAAAGAAGAATGTAAGGCAGAGTAGCTGTCTGTAGTCAAGAAAGGCAGAGAGATGAGACACGGGAAAGGGGGGGAAAAGGGGGATAAGGCCATCAATAGGACCACCCATCCTGTAACCCAGTGACTGCTCCAGGTCCTGAATTCCACCAGACCCAGGTCTGGGCCAGCCTCCCAGCAACCCCCTCCCTGACACCTACCAAGCTTCTTCCCTAGTTCCCTTCCCTCCTCACACCATCCACCCTGCAGAGTCCCAACACTGTAGGTCATTCCCTCACAATTTCCCCAGAGGAGGTACAATCCATCTAATTAAAAACAAACAAAAGTGAGTAATAAGTGTGGTAAGAAATCAACATGAACCTTTAACCACAGCCCTTAAGAGATAGGAAATGTACCATAGTAAAGAGCGGGTTCAGAAGGTCAGCTGTAAGGAAGAAAAGTCTGCTACTTGACAGCAGGGGATCTGACCTTCTAACTCACAGTGCCCAGTTCCGTAAAGTTGATATATAAATACGGGTCATTAATTACTTTTATTTACTAGTTCGGTTAGGGTTAGGGTTAGACAGTAACTTTTATGTACTTTTATTTTTTTTATAGACAAAAAAACCCAAGAACAACAACTCAGAAATTCTTCCACTGCCCCACACACCACCCCCAAGTCACTGGCAGCCGTAAACGAGGAGCCTGTGGCCTCTGCCTCCAGAGGCAGAAACCCTTGCCATAGGTTCTCTGAAATCTTAAATATAACGAACCAGATCCGCATCATTTATGGCCAGTGGTGTTAGCAGGCCCTACGTGTGAGGCACTGGGCATCACGAAATATGCCCCGCGAGTCCCCGGAGCTGTCCAGAGGCCCGCAGAGGAGGGTCACTACCGGGGGCCAAGCGCTAGGCTTTAGGTCAACGCAGGTCCCGCCGCCAGCAACCCCTGCCCTGAGCAGCCAATTTCAAACAGCCCCTAGGTGGCAGAGGGTCACTCGGCTCCGGAGCCCCTCGCGGTCACACACACACACACACACACACACACACACACATACACGCTCGCCGCCCTCGCGCGCGCCCGCGGCACCACACGAACTTCCCAATCCCAAACGCACGCGCGCACCCCCGGGCCGGCTGAGTTCTGTATTTCCTCTTCCTCAAAGCTACTCTTGCGATCTCGGCCGCCCCTCTCTGCTCGGATTCCAGGGCCCCCGAAGCTCGGCTGCCTTCCTTCTCTTCAGGCGCACCCGGTGCGCCCCCTCTCTGATGCAGGGGTCACCCATCGAAGCCCCCCACCTCCTTTCCCGGTCCCAGGGGGGACTTCGGCGTGTCCCCGGGAGGCGGGTATTTACTAACAGTCGCCCGGGGCTCCCAGCTGCCCCAACCGCCCCCTCGCGTCCCTCCCGGCCCTCCACGCCTCTAGACCATCACCGCCCCCTCCCAGGAGTGCGTTCGCCGGGGGATTCCCTTCCATCTGCGAGTGCCTGAGAAAAGCCGGGAGTCCTAGCTGCCAGTCCCTTCTCCCGCGCAGCCTCTCGGGTCTCCAAGCCCACAATTCCACACTCTCCCTGTCCCCAGCCCCCCGGCGCCAGCAGCCCAGTCCTCAGTCAGCCTCCTCCAGCCCGCCCTGACCGAAACATCTCTGCGGGTTCCCTGGCCACCGGCCCTGCGCTCCCTCCTCTGCGCCCCTTCCTCCGCTCCCACTCGCCCTCCCGCCGCCCCCTCCGCCCTGACTTTCCCAAATGGGGCAGAGTGCCCCCACGCGCCCGCAGCCTTCACCCCGGCGGCCACCCCCCGCCTGCGCCGCGACGCCCCCAGGGAGAAAACAAAAGTGTCTCCGCGGCGCCCAGAGTCCCCCCGCGCAAGACGCCTCCTCCTTGCCCCAGCTCCCTCCCCGGCTGCGCTGAGGTCAGCGAGTCAGGGCGCCGCGCCAGCCCAGGAAACTTTACGAACCTGCCCGGGGTCGCAGGACGGCGGCGGCGGCGGCGGCGAGGGTTCCCAGCAGTCAGAGCTCTGGCGACCCCGCGACTACTGAAGGGGGACCGGAGGGTCTGTCGCCCAACTCGGGGTCCCGGCGGTGTGAGTGGCTCTGCCTCTATCCCTTGCCCATCCTCGCCGGTTCGCGCTCGCCAGAGCACACGCACTTACACTCCGGGTCGGCCGGCTGCTGCGCCGCCGGCGGCCGCTGCTCTCACTTCCTCTTCCTTCCTCCTGCTGGCCAGAGACACATTTTGCATCTGCAAGGCATCCCGAGATTAGCCGCGAAATCTCCTCCTGAGCGGACGCTGCGGAGTGGCCGCCGTCGCCCCCCGCACCTGCGCCCGGACACGCGTGGTTGGCGCGTTCGCCTCCAGCCGGCGCCCTGACGCCGGCCCACTGCACTTTGCCTGGGGGATGGGGGTGCCCACGACTTTTTGAAGTCCCCCTACTTAAAAAGAAGAAAATGTCAAACACCGTGTACGCCTCAGTTCTGCTATAAATAATATGTGTGCAGAGCATGACTTCTCGAATGAGCTCACACGCGGCGTTTTGCAGGCGCTAACTCCGTCACCCTCATAGCGCCACCTCCGGGAGGCCGAGAGTGCGCGGCATCTTTTTATAAGCCTTCAATTTGGGCAACTGGTTTGGAATTTTGAGGAGAAACTTCGGTGGGCTGTTTTAAAGCTACCTTAAGAGGCTGATGTGTTTGTGTTGACGTTCTGCCTCGACCCTTGGACGGCGCGACAAAAGTAACAGGAGAACGTTTCCTCCTCCTCAGTCACCTGTGCATTTACCGACCAAAGGATTTATTTCTCATCAATTAAGCCAGGGACTCCCTAATTTTGCATAACTTTGCATAAAGCAAAACGTTCTACCACCAATTTGGTATTTAGGAGGGAAATGACAGTTGTTGGAAGGTTGCAGGAGAAACACCTGTCCTCTCCAAATTCAGAAATATCTACGCTGGCTCTACCAGAAAAGGCAAAGGCAGTTGCTATACATTCCCTGCAAAATGACAAAGGAGGTAAGTCGGGGACAGGGAGGCATTAGAATGTAAGGTGGAAGCAAACCTGTTAAGTTTCAATCCCACCCCCTAGCCCCCCAAGGAGACTTAAATTTTAACCATGTGCCGACTGTCCATTAGCAGCCAAGAGTTCCAAGTAGCTATTGAACGCTTGAAATGTGGCTAATGCTGAGATGTTCTGTTAAGTGTAAAATAGACACTAGACTTCGTGTGAAAAACAGAATGTAAAATAGCTCGTTAATAATTTTAATGTTGATTACATCATTCCAACAAATGATGATAGTTTAGATGTGATGACTCAGTTGGGTTAATGTATTGGGTTAAGATATAAAATGTATATTATATACACTAAAAATAATTTCACTGGTTTGTTTTTACATTTTTAACACGACTACTAGGAAAAGTAGGACTATACACATGGTTCTCATTAGCGGCTTATATTATATTTCTAATGAACTGCCCTGATCTGACCCCTTATTACATGCATAACCCCAGGAGGCAGTATTAGTAGCTGGAATATTCGGGTCCAGATCATTATAAACTAACAACTTAAAACAGTATGATTCCAGGAAAGTAATTTCACTTCTTTATTTCTTCATCTGTAAAACAGTAATGATACAATAATAACAGTCAACAGGGCAGCTATCAAATGAGGTAATTTAATAAGCAGTCAGTAAATGGAGCCTTTACTAATGATGATGAGACACTTTTATAGTGATAAGTATGAATCTTATCCACAACTTTCTAGCTAAGGCACATAAAGACCTTTACTTTAGTGCAGACACCATGAATACTCGGTAAATGTTAGGTGTCATAATTGTTCCAAGGGTAGACAGGGAACTTTGCACAGCAATTAGACAAATCCACCTCCCTGTGACCTTTGGTCCCAGCTCTGCCCTCTGCAGTTAACACAGAGTAAGTCACATCCTTCCTGCAAGAGATAATCTTTCAGATCTTTGAAGATAGCCCTAGAATTCTACCTAAACTTTCTCTTCCGAGGATTAAACATTGTCAGCTACTCTAACTCCTTTTCATGTGATATGGCTTCAAATCTCTTTCACCATTTTTTAACGGACACCTGTCTCTGCCTTTTAAAAAAGTTAGTTGTCATATAAATTAACTAGCTAACTAACTAACCATTAAAAACTATTTATAAGCTCTTGTCAATTATTTTTCAGATACATCTCACTGTTAATCCCAGTGCAAGGGGAAGACTGGAAATTCTTTGCTGTGTTACGATTAGGCCATGTCCATGTTTATGAGGTTAGTCTTGGAAACCAGTTTCTGGTCCACCTTCTCTAAGTCTCTTTGGACTTGATTCAGGCATCCAGTGTTTCCCCATGTCTGCAAGTTAGGTTAGAACACTAGGGTCCTGGATGACACCCTACTAAGAAGCTCCCTCCACCATGGTGGGGAACAGCATTCTTTGAATTCACTGGTTCATTCAGTTACTAATGACCTTCTTAACTGTGCCATTACCAAGCCTTATTTTTCTATTGTATTCATAAAGACATATTAGATGTGTCAAATGCCTTAGAGAAATCCACCTTCACCCTGGGCTAGCTGGTGGTCTGCAGTGGGCACTTTTGTAGAGTGGGCAGTGTGGTGGTAACATGTAGAAGGGCTCCATCTCTGGACTTGGTTGTTGGATATAAATTCCAGCATTGCCATTTACTGGCTGCATTACCCTATGCAAGTGACTTAACTTATGGACTAAAACTATACCTACCTGGGAGGGTTGAGTGAGGATGAAATGAGTTGATACAGTAAAGCTCTTAGAACAGGGCTTGGCACATAGAAGCACTCACTAAATGTTAGCTTAGCTATTATCTATAACAGTCCTCTAATCAGTAAATAAGAGCAACATCTCCTCCCTTTTCCCATGCATCAGTTTCTACCCATAGGGCAGGGAAAGAGCCAGTATCACGACTCTGATTTTATTTCAGCTCCTGGTCAGAGACTGGGCCGTTCAATCCCACAGGTCATGCTGTGGTAGAGAGGGTGTCCATTATAATAAGGATCAGGATCCAAGGGCAGCTCATCACTTGCAGTAAGTCCACCAGGGCAGGGCTAGGCTCTCTGCAGTTGGGCCAGCCTCATCTACATCTCAAACGGTTGGGGAAGTGGACTCAGGATCTCCCCTATAGGACCACCCATCTCAGTTTCAAGATGGCTATAGGAGAAAAGGAAGCACGGCAGAGAGAGCTGGCTAAAGAACAAAATTCCCTGAAGCCTGAGGTCTAAACTGCTTCCCGCAACCATGCTTACAAGACAGCTTTGCACTGTTGATGGACAGAGAGGTATTTGGGCGAATTTCCCAGATTTAATAACTCGATCCTGTGTTTCCAACATCTTTATTCTTCCTTGTGTTTACAGAGCTCCAAGAGAGGAGGGATGAGTACCCAAATGTCACCATGAAACCCAAAGTTGCAAAAATGGCCTGTTATATTTTTAATCAATGATGACTCATGTTGATCAACTCTTTCCTTCCTAAGCATTCACAAATATTCATTTCTAATTCATTTTTTAAAAACACTTACTGAACTGCAAATAAGCCCTGTGCATTTAATAATACATTTCATAACTTGCTTCAGAATTTTGCCTCAAATCAGCCTCAACTTCCTTGATCTGTAGCTTGAAAAATCTATTCTCTTTTCCTGTCTTAGAATCAGGCTCACGATGGCTTGACTCCAGTCTTGAAACAGCTCTGGGGGTAGAGAGAGTGACCTCAGCTCCAGGAAGCTGCTATACCAGAGATAACAATGTCTGGGTAGCAGGCAGACACCTGCAGTCCAGAGCCACTGGGATCAGCCCTGGGACAAGCAGAGTGACAAGGGGGTCTGTATGCCAGGGCCTTCCTTCTCGCCATCATTCCTTAATTCAATGTGCACGGAAGGCCTTAAATGTGAGCTACCGTGGGAGGAAGGGAGGCTACAATGGTGAGCACGAGAAGCATGCGGGGCCCCTCCTGGCACTTCCAACCTAGTTAAGAAGACAGAATGTAGTAGAAGAACATAGTAATAACCAAATATTGAAGTACCATGTGGAGGCAGGGATGCTACCATCACCTGTAAGTCTCCCTGGGAAGCTCTGCTAGAGTTGGAACCTGAAGGATGAGTGAGTATACGTTAGCCAGGACAGTGGGGGAAGGCGGTGGGCTGGGTAATGGGGAGGGGTCCTAGATCAAAAAAAGCAGTTTTCACAAAGGTCTATAGGAATCATAGTGCAGGCAGAACCTTAAAAAAGTCAATTTGGTTAAAGTGTGAGAATATCAAAATTGAATCTAAGAGCACAGGGCAAAAGCCAAAATTTGGAAGCCCTTGGCAGTCATACTGAATATATTAAGGATAATGGGAAGGCACTGAAAAGTTTTTTGTTTGTGATTCTTTTGTTTTGTTTTGTTTTCCAAGTGGAATATTTTAAGCAAGAGACTATCATCGTTGGTTTTTTATTTTAAAGGTTCATCCTACCGAATAGAGAATGGATTAGAGGGGAGACAAAAAGGCACGCGGGAAGAACCGATAGGGAGTTATTGCAGGAAGCTAAGGCTAGAGAAGATGGAGCCTAAGTCACCAAAACCAAGGGCCTGGGGAGAACTGGAGAAACGGAAATGTTACAAAGGAAGCAGAGGGCCCGTAGAACAGATGGTCAGTCATCCTAGTTGTAGAGGCCCACAAACAAACTATTTGCTTTTGCCTTGCTGCCTCGGCCCAACCAAACACTGAACTTGGTTGGCTTTCTTGTAACCCTGTGTCCAACATGGTACTACCTGCAACACTTGCCCCCAGGTCAAGGACGGGCTCGAGAAATGAAAGGGATGACTCTACTCTTGTTTGGCTACTGACCATTTCTGTGACACCATTACTCTGGGTTCATGCCCAGCAGATCCTCATTTCATAGTCATTATAAATTGTCCAGTGGTGGAGGACACCCATCAAAACATGTAAACTTTACTTCCTGCACCAGCTCCCTCTGCTCTAGCCATCCCACCCTATTTTTAAACAAAAAATATCTCCATGGACTGCCAAGTCATCCATTAACCAAATGCATTCTCCTGTTTGGATTTGTGTTTAGCAGGACATTCATCAAGACTTTCAGATCTATATCCACTCTCTACCTCCCCTTGCCCAAAG